TTAATGAGCCAACCCTGTATTTAATGAGCCAACCTTGTATTTAATGAATCCAACCCTGTATTTATTGATCCATTAATGTATTTATTGTTTCAACGTTCGATTTAATTATACATCCATATTTTTCTTGATCGATTTCTGTATTTATAAATTTGAAATTTATTCGTACTAAGGTGATGGGCAAATCTTGAACATCTTGGATAAAGATCCTAACCCTGCCGAATTGACGAATGCTATAAACTGGGTCGAATCAATATGCGCAATATACAAAATATTTATTATTTCCTCAAATAAATGCGTATTTATTTATATATTTCGATTTATAATTATATATTTCAAACTGCGTTATACGAAATATCAAGCAATATAAAATCTGACATTTTCCAAATGTCAAATCTTAAGAACAAGAAAATTATCAGCGCAAAGCAATTTCTTTTACCTACAAAAATTATTTGAGAAATAAGAACAAAAAGGGGCGAAATATATCCTTAATTTCTACGAAATTGATAATTGATTGCGTGACTAAAGATGATACAAAATTTAAGCAGTGGTATTTCTTTAACTTTCGCTGGCATTTCTTAACCATTCCTCCTGATATATTTCGTTAAATTCCAAAAGGTTAAACGGTCAAATGCTTCCAGACTAGATTCTTCAGCACTTTTTATATATTTATTGGCTGGGTGGCTCAAGAACATTGATATGTTCTTTCTTCAAAATCTGCCGTGTTTGGGATTATCTTCCCGTTAAAACATCCAGCCTCACTTCATGATGAGGTTTCTAGTGAAGAAGATGAAATATTCTTCCAGAATTGCGCGATGCGTAGTTCTATAAAATTGAACAATTGTAGAGTTGTATGTATTTTAGGTGAAGGCGCGTCTTCAATATGTAAACAAAGAAGACAGAAGCATAAAAAAAAACTTTACGTTTTTTCTTTTTATGATGACTGTAGTGAAACAAAGTCCTCAATGTTTCTTGGGTATGCACGTTTTCATTTTGGTTCAGGAGTTAGGAAGGTAAGTATAAGTCAGCCTTGCGCAGAGTTGGAACAACCAAAGGAAGGTTTCTACTTACTTTATCGCAGGATGGTTTACACATGGTTATGGGATGTCTGTTTTCTTCTTTTTTGGGTGCAGAAGTTAGAGTAAGTCAGTACAAGCATCGTTCCTATAGTCGCAATCAAGTCAGCTTTGCACTGAGTTGAAACAACCAAATGAAAAGGCTTGACATACTTCATAGGTTGAGATTTATGGAAGATTTACGTGCGAGTGTCATGCGTTGAAAAGTGGGAAGAGATTTCAGTCGTCAGTGAACTGTGGAAATTAATATTCCCCAGAGGGAACGTAATTACCTCGTGGTACCACATCTTGGAGCAAAGAGGAGAAAGACATTGAAGCAGGGAATGTTTGCCTTTTTATAGCCTAACGAGGTTAGGCGAAATGGGGCAAACATATTTCTGTTTTTTTTTTACTCTTAGCATCATGAGAAAGTGTATTTCTTTTTTATTACTCATTATTTTTATTTATTATTATTATTATTTTATTTCCTTTGATTTCTGGCGTTTACACATTTCTTTCCGGGTCCCGCCCAGGGACCTAAGGTTAGAAATGGCATCATGACACTTTCCACAGACAAAAAAAACTACATAGATAAAGGCCTTTCATAAAGTGTGTCAGAACAATTTTTTGTATTTCTTTGAGGCATGGACTTCCAGGAATCCCTTCAATTAGTCTACTGGAATCTTTTCCAACCAATCTTAGGGCTCCAACTACAACAGGGATTTTTGATGTGGCACATTTTTGACATTTCTATTTCAATGTTCTCGTATTTTTACAGCTTTTTGAATATCTTCAAAGATACATTGCAGTCTGCAGGGACTGCCATATCAATAAGGAAGTACTTTTTTTGTTTGTGGTTTTTAATAACAATATCTGGGTGGTTGGCTTTGATTGTTCTGTCAGTGTGTATTGCGTAGTCCCATAGAATTATAACAGGTCCTATCTTCGTAACCGGGTCTGGGTGGTGTTCATACCAGTTTCTTACAGTTTCCTTTCAGTAGAAGTTGCTTATTTTCCAGTGCAGATATTGGCCCACTCTGTCATGCCGAGTTTTATATTCAGTGGGTGCCAATATCGTGCAACCAGGTACAAGATGATCAGTTGTTTATGGATATTTATCACAGAATCTGCATTTTGAGCTAACACAATATTTTAATATATATGCTTGATAATTCCTAGTTAGCAAGCATTGGTCCTGCGCAGCAAGGATAAAACCTTCAGTTTCAGCTTTCAACCCTGCGCTACGTAGCCACTGATGGGTACGGGTTTTGTCTACGTCAGCTTGTTTGGTACGGGCAAAATATTGGCCATGAAGCGGTTTATCTTGCCATTGTTTCTGTATCTAGTCGGTTGCATTTGTCTTTGCTTTCTTTATTAAGCATTTTGCAGCTTCAGCCGTCTTATTATTATTATTATTATTATTTTATTTATCGATTTTTTAAAAAAATTCCCTACAGTTACTTCGATGATATAAATCTCCACAGTAGCCATAAATGAAAAAACATCCTCACACCATTAGATTGACCTCTTCATATTTCGTGATGGGTATGAGACATTTTAGATATTAAGCGTCCTTCATTTTCTACCTTAATACAGTATAATATAGCAATTTCCAAATAGATCGACTTTGGTGACATCCGACCATAAAATATTATTGAAACAGTTTTTAATCGCTATCAGAGTAATGCTACTAAAACACAAGGGGGTTACAGGGTGTGGAAGAATTAAGAACAGAAACATTAATGATGAGCAGAAAGTGAATAGAGTAATCAGGTGGAGAGTAGATGGCGATTGACATTGCATTTAAATTTTTGCAGATTAAAGTTGGATGGACAGCATGAAGCCTCAAGGGAGTTCCACAAGTGCACACTTACATATGATACTGGGATTACAGTTTTTAATTTAAGAACATATATTTGCCATTTAAAATAAACAGGCTATATATATATATATATATATATATATATATATATATATATATATATATATGAAGTGAAAATTGAAGTCAACACTTAGAGGCGACAGGCTGTTTCATGCTAGATGCAATCATCAGTGGCCTGACGATTGCGTCTAGCATGAAAACAGCCTGTCGCCTGTAAGTGCTGGAATTCAACGTTCACTTTTAAATTTACACGCTCTATCTCTGATATTGAGCACTTTTACCCCCATAAATATAGTACACCTTAAGAATATATTTCTTCATCTATCTATCTATCTATCTATCTATCTATCTATATATATATATATATATATATATATATATATATATATATATATATATTTGGTTGGATAGATGTGAGTTTGTTACAAACTCACATCTATCCAACCAAATATGTTAGCTCTATCTCTGATATTGAGCGCTTTCTAATAAGTACCGCATATAATATATAAATAATTATATATATATATATTTATTTATATTTATATACACTTTTCACATATATATATATATATATATATAAACTTATTTTAAATTTGTAAATATAATTTTTTTTATATTAAGCATAAAGGGAGATTACTGATTCTATTTAAAAATAATTTCCATTAAAAATTAATTTGGATCAACGTATTTAAGCAGATATTAATTATTATGCCTACATGTAACCATCGATTCATTTCTCTTCCTTCATAAGCTAGGGTTATTTAAGTGTTTTAAAATAACCAATTTTTCAACAAGACACAAATTACAACTATTGCCTTTCCTGTTGTTAGATTTGGTCCCCACGTAATAATGGGTGTACTAACACCATTCTTTAATTGCTACAAATATTTGGAGAGAGCAGTTATCTTTGTATATTTTATATTACGTAAAGTTATTTGATGATGGCAGAAACGAAATTTTTAAGGATTTTTAGTGGAACCAAAATAAAATTTTATATATTTACCGGAATGTATGCTAGCTCGATATACAATATTATTAGTCATACATTTACCGTTTAAGGGACAGATCATATTTTTTGACAATTGCATTTAATTTTTAAATGATTAACTCTATGTATTTGTTTAATATAATGCTATTATGTTGGGATATAGATTTATCGATGTTACTAATGCAACTATAGGTGATCTTAACATTATTTTTAATAAAAATCTTGAATGGTTAAAGTGTTTATGAATCAAATTTAGGAAGATTCTTCTGATATTAGTTTGAACATTACAATTAAAAGGTGGATTAAACCATATAACGTTACGCTTATGGTGTTTCTGTTTATTTTTATCTTTTTTCTTTTTCTAAATACTCGAAATTTACTTTATGATTTCTTAGTTTTAAAGCCTTTATGGATTTAATTTTATTATTATTATCAAATATTTCCTTATTGCTGGAGTTGATACATAATCTAACTTGGACTGATTTATGCAAATTATCTAGAATTTTGTGGTGGTGGTTTGATTCAGTACTAACGTATCTATGGTTATATAGGTCTTTTGAATATGGTTTGTAATGACCAATTATTTAAGTCTAAGATAACATCAAGAAAGTTGATCACTTCAGCATTGGTGATTCTGGTAATATTTATCTCGTGATCTTTCAAAAACTTTTCTCAGTTCCTTTCTCAATCGGTCTATATTTAGTGGACTTGTTTTACGGAGGAGAATTACACCGTCATCTCTATAGAGTCCGGTGTCCTTAATGTCGATAATAAATCTTAGTTGCCACAATAAAAAGATTCCAGCAAGTTCACATGCCTCTGCTGAATCATATACTTCAATAGCAATATTAATGTCTGGGTTATTTCTTTTGGTTTACAGATAACTATTATGGAATAGTATAGATTTTTGTGCCTGCATTATGATTTTGATTTCGCGATAGATAGATAGATAGATAGATAGATAGATAGATATATAGATGAGAATCCAAATATGTTATAATTGCATGTGGCATCATCGTATTGAATTATTAATAGAACCGGTCACCTTTTGTTTTTTTTAACCAAACGTGTTTTTTAGCGTTATCTGTCAGTCTGTTCATATCTATCTATCTATCTATCTATCTATCTATCTATCTATCTATCTGTGTCTGTGTATATCAATCTATCTATGGATAGCTAATGTCTCTTGAAGAGATAATAACATAATCAAGATATGGACGTTTCACATTATTTCAAGTAAAAAGCTAAGAAGGAAAACCCACCGCTTGAAAGAGCGATAATGGCTGCTGGACTTTATTAAACTGTTTTCCTGAAAAAAATGTTTTAAGAGAAAGATTTTATAAATTTCAGCCAACAGCAGCACTGATTCCTCGGTCAATGAATGCTAAATATTTCCTTATAAGTAAACGGCAAATATTAACATTACTATCTATTTATATATGTTCATATCCCTCCATCCATCTATCTCAGTTTTTCCTGATCTTTCGTCTTCTCCGTGTGTAGAGAGAACTTGTGCGCATATGTGGTGAGCAGCGATTCAAAGCTTACAGATTAAGGCATTAGTTTTGTAATAATCTTTGATGCGGTCTTCAAATATGGAACCTTCTTTGAGGCTTGGTCTTCCAAGTATTGTCGCCCAGAGTTCCATAAATAGCGCCACGGTCGGAGATAATGGATTCTCGGTGTGCTATACAGAACATGCTTCTACGTATTTAAATGGGCGATTAAGAACGACATGAATAAAAGAAAGAAAGAAAGAAAGAAAGAAAGAAAGAAAAGAAAGAAAGAAAGAAGCGAAAGAAAGAAAGAAAGAAAGAAAGAAAGAAGAGAAAGAAAGAAAGAAAAAAAAAGCGAAAGAAAGAAAGAATGGAGAAAAGTAAGAAAAAAGCGAAAGAATGGGAGAAAGAAAGGCAGAAAAAAGAAAGGAGAAAGAAAGTAAGGAAGGGAGAAAGAAAGGGAGAATATAAAGAAAGAGAGAAAGAAAGAAGCACCAGAATTACGCTAAAAAGAAGGATAAAAGGAAAAGAGTAAAAGAAAATGAGAAAAGATATGAAAACAAAAAAGAAAAAAAAATGAGAATAACGAAAACGGGGAAAAAAAAGAAATTATGAAGGAAAAGAAATTCACAAAGGAAGCAAATGAATATATATATATATATATATATATATATATATATATATATATAAAGCTTCCTTGTTTGTATTTGTGTGTGTGTGCAAATATACCCACATGACCCATACGCATATGTGTGTATATTAGAGTGTTATTGTTTCTCATGGTAGCTTATACATCAATAACCTGAGATGACAAACAGTGGGAATTGACATTGGTCAGAGGACATTGTAGCCGACAAAGTTATGCTGTCTTTTCTCATATTCTATGCAAAAGTAGGATTACTCATTATAAGAATTTGAAATTTATTACTAATCTTTTCTAACCAATCATGAAAAGGAAACATTTCTATCCAATCAGCAAACCCCTTTTTAGAGCCTATCAATGATTCTAAATAATTAACTTCATTTTTCCGTAGCCGGTGAATTTTTTTGCGAATTTACACTGTATGTAATTAATTCTGTTTGCTCACTGACACAAAATTTATCGTGTGTTATTTTCATCAAGCTGAGTAATAAGCAATTTCCGTTTTAGGGAACCAAAATTGAAAATATATATCATGCTAAGAAACCGTTCCTGAAACATATCAAAACAGGCGATGAAATATGGCTTACATATGACAATGTTCAACGCAAAATGGATTAACAATGATAAATTTCCAAAAGAAAAGTAATGTGTAGTGCGATCGTTGGAGTATTATTCATTTAGAATTCTTAAAACGTAATGAAACAATAAATGCACATTTATATATCCAGCAGCTGCAAGGTGTCCTTAAACTTTCGTTTGAAAAACGCCCTGAGTTCATCAACAGGTCAAATGTTGTTCTCCGTCATGAAAATGTTTCTTACTGCATGCATGGTCACACACAGCAAGAATAACAAATGAAATTTTGGAACTCCTTTGGGGTCTGTTCTTCCCCAGCTGCCATATTCACCTGACTTTGCATGAACTAATTATTACCTTCGTCTATCGCTGCTAAACGCTTTGCTAAGGAAAATTAATCAAGAGGTCGTCGAAAGTATCAAAATCTACGGAATTTAATCCAAATCGTTCTCTTAAAACATCTTTTCAGGAAAACAGTTTGATAAAGTCCAATAATCGTTATCGCTCTTTCAAGCATAGGGCTTTCCTTCCTAGCCTTTTACTTGAAGTAGTGTGGAACGTCCACATCTTGATTATGTTATTTTCACTTCAAGTGACATTACATTCACTTACGTGCCAATACCCTTGGGAAAAGTATGAATCCACTTCTTCTCCCCCCCGCTATGGGTAAATAGCAAGACAGACCGGGTTCTATAGCCTTGGATGGCAACTAGTCTACAGCAGAAAGAAATGGCTACCTACTGCGGGAAAAAATCTGCCTCGTCAATCATGTATCTTTCGATACATGATTGCCTAAGCGTGTATCACGCATGGCACATAACTAATTAACTGACTGACATGAGCTATTCAAAGATAGATAGATATGAACAAACTGGTAGATAGATAAATCTAAAAAACCTGTTTACGAACTGTTTGATAGTGGCAATAAATCCTTGTACATAATGGTGAATATATAATTGAATTTTTTTTTAAAGAATAAAATTGATAAACAGAAACATGAATTATTTATGAGTCAACCTAATAAATTTCTAATTTCTTAATAATTGGACAGAGTAGGATTTTTTTCTCTATATGCAATAAACAGACGTGTTCTTAATTATGGGATTGTTGGAAAAGCCTTTGAAGAATAAAAAGTGCCAAATTAATAAACAGGGCGTGGTCGGAAAATTCACTGAAAAAGTAAGCGTCTCTCAGTCTATTAGAAAACTTAGAAGAAAATAAAAAATATAAAATGTTAAGAAAAAATAGTGTAAATATATTTATAGCACAAATTTTGAAATGTAAAGAAACATGGAGAGTGTGGCAAAAAGAAAGAGTTATGAATAGTAAAAATGTCGGTAGATGTATGACTATTCCTGACGTCTGTTTACATCCGACGTACACCAAGGCAAATGAAATCAAACACAATCGCAGTATCACTCATTCCTCATTTCTGGCGTTGCTGTTTTTGGATCACTCCCATGTTGTGATATACACATGTGATTTTATAAAATCATAAAAATATTGAAATATGTTATTAAATTAAAAAAATTTAATAAAAAATATGTTGAATAAAATTAAATGAAAAAAATAGAAAACCTGTTTCTATCTTGAGACTGGTCAGACGAAAAGATTCTGTGTGTGGAGTCGTGACCCAAGATATTTTCTCTTTTATTCTCTTACTGTTTCTCTTCATCACACATTACTATCTGATGTCATACTAAAAAAAGGCCTTGTAACAATTCATTTGAAATAACTACTTTAAATTCTTTAAGACATGGAACCCTAAAAACTATCCATTCTTTAAGACAGGGAACCCTAAATATTATCCATTCTTCCAAACAGGGAACCCTTAAGACGATTAACTGTTTAAGACAGGGCACCCTAAAGACAATCCATTCTTTAAGACAGGGAAACCAAAAAGACTATCAATTCTTTAAGTCAGGGGACCCTAAAAACTGTCCATTCTTTAAGACAGGAAACCCTAAAAACTGTCTATTCTTTAAGACAGGGAACCCTAAATAGTATCCATTTCTTAGAACAGGGAACCGTAAAAACTGTTCATTCTTTGAGACAGGTAACCCTAAATATAACAACTACTTACGATCATTGATCAATAAGTCCCTAGCCTGACAATATTAACTGTTTTTTGAAGAGTACATTTTACTGAATAATGTTCAATCGATATGGTTAATATTCACGGCTGGATTAAGTGCTTTGACATGGAAAATATTATGTCAATAATATTTGTTGCGCAAAATATTTTTTCATCGTCACATAAAATAAATAACTATAAAAATACGAGAAACTCTTGGTAACTTCTTTACACGTGTTTGTGTGTCACGAATGAAGTGTTTGACAAAAGACAGCATTTAAAACATAAGCAAATAAACGTGCAAAAATAAAGAAAATCGCTCCATTAAGGTCAGATTAGAAGAACTTAAGAAAACCATATCTAAAAACGAGATAGAAAACTATATGACAACGAGAAAAGGAACTTCCATTACCTTATTTGGGCTGAGGTACAAATACTGCGGAACAGCGTTGGAGTGTGAGAAAATTGATGGAAACTGCAGGTATTTTTGGATAGTTGTGTAAATATAGATTTCTTGGTTCAATAAAGAAAGAAAAAACACATTTGTCACGAATTGTTGAGAACAGAATCGTTTTTGTGTTTCTTGTTGCTGAGAATGAACTATACCGGTTAATGTTTCTTCTCTGTTTGACACACTTTTCGTTAAAAAAAAGGAAATCCTTCTTTTTATGCATTGTGCACAGGAAGAAGACTAGAATCGAGTGGCTGAAACGTTGATGTGCTCAATAAAAGCAATATAGGTTCAATAAGCCGAACAACATTTGGATGAAGATTTCATTTTCTTTGGGAGGTCGAGGCAGCTGAATACACATCCTGTGAGCCATTAGTAATTTCACGTGTTCAATCCTGGTTGGCTATACACATACATATAGTGCGAGAATAAAGCTTCTTTTAAAGGAAAAAGAGAAATTTAATAATTAAAAGGAAAACATATGCTGATATTGGTAAAAATTACTGCAAAAATGCATCTTTTTCTCCAGATATCCGTGTTTATGAAAAAGCCAAAATTTGGAAAGCTGGCCCTGTTGAAAGATCAATGAAATCTTATTCGTTCTCATTTTACATTGTCAGAAAAACGTGATATATGTCTTCCTGTATGGCAGCGAATGCTGGACAATCTCCTCAAAGATGAAGACGAGACTTGAAGCAACAGAAGTGTAATTCTACAGAAAGATGTTGAGGATACCATGGGCTGAATATGTAAGGTAGTTAAAATTTATGGAGCACGTAATGAGGGAGGAGGGCTTGAGGAAAAGATGGACAGATGAAAGAAGCGCGTAACATACACCCAAATTAATTGAAACAACCGATTTAATTTCCTTTCTTTCATCATACGGTGAGTTTCCATTTTTTCCTCAGATTAGGTCATTTACAGTGCTGTACAATAATAA